AATAAAATATGTAGAGAACTTTCTAGTATTATATATAGATGCTAATTCTCAGAATCAGTGAGTCTGACAAAGTCAAAATAAATTTATACAGTCTCACTCATAAATTGAGGATTATTTATTCCTAGATTCTTTAAATCTCAAATACCACTAAATGAAAGAGATTTCTGATTTCCTATAACACAAAACACAAAGCAGGTCTAAGAGGAGCATACAGCACCTGTGCAGAAACAGCAAGGGACAATATGGCATCTGAGACAGAACTGACCTTGGATGGGCATCCCAGTCACATCACAGAGTTGTCACAGGGACTTGTGACATGAACTGCTGGCAAGGGGATGAAGTAACAGCCTTCTACACAGGCAGACTAAACAAAAGCTTTTTAGAAGCAGGTAAATCCTGGGCTTCCCCTGCCCTCCACATCCCTGCTACAGTAGCTAAAGTCTAGAATTTTTTTCTAGGTAACTGTTTATCTGACAAGCATAGCTGAGTCCGTTGTACCACATGAAAAGTGAAGATTGAGAGACCACATTAGTAGTTACGTCCAAAAGTCAGTCTTAACATTTGTATTCAAGTGATCAAAAGCATCAGGACAAGTTAGCTGGTGAAAGGCTAGTGTTTTTATCAAATGGTGCTGGAAGAACTGGAGGTAGGTGTGTAGGTGTGTGTGTGTCTGTGTGTGTCTATGTCTCTGTGTGCAAAAAAAATGAATTTGGATTTCTACTTTATAACACACACAAAATCAACTCAAAGTAGACCATAGACCTAAATATGAGCTAAACCTGTAACATTTAGAAGAAATGAGGTGGAATCTACTGGTCTTGGCAGCATGCTGGACATATAGCAATAAAGTAGGAGCTGGTGTTCTTGACAAGGCTGGCTGAGTAGACAAGACAAAGGCTTCCAGGACTCTATCAAAGAACATTTTTTGATGGACTGTGTCCTTTCAAAGCAGTAAACATCTCAGTGAGCACTTCTACTGAATCAAAGAACCTAAGATCTTTGGAATTCCACACAGAGTCAGCCAAGTGTCTTTACAGAAGTCAAGCGACCGCCTAAACCAGACTGTCTGGTTGACCCATAGTTTGTAGAGAGCAGAACCTCCCAAGCCCTTGCTTGAGCAGTTGCTAATGGGCATGACTCACATCAGTTCAGCATCCTGTTGTATCCCTCATACTGCTGCTTGATATGCTTTTCTGGTTCCAGCTCACAAGGCAGAACATTTACTATGCAATTGTTCTATCCAGGACAGACACAGAAGTAATAGGGAAAATATTTTTAACATCTTGTTAATTTTAAAATGCATGTAAAAGTGCTTTGGAGACAATAAAGTGCTTTACAAGGCAATGCATTAGAGGATTAAATGCCAGGTGTGTATGCTATAAAAGATACTAAAACATCTTTGATGTGATGCTGTTGGCAGCTGGTCCTCAAGACTGGATCTCAGGCTCCCTCTAATTACAAGCTCTTATAGAAGGTAAAAACATACTTTAAAAAAAGGTTTATTTGATGTGTCTGAGTGTTTTGTCTGCCTCTACGTCTGTGTACCCACATGAATGCAGTTATCTCAGAGGTCATAAGGGGGTGTCAGATCCCCTGGAACTGGAGTTACAGCTGGTTGTAACCCTCCACGTGGGTGCTGGGAACTGAATCCAGGTCATCTGAAGGAAAAGACTGTGCTTTCCTCTACTGAGTCATCTCTCCAGCCCCATAAACACACTTTAAATTTTAGTCTCAGGTCTAAATTTTGTTGCTCTTAACATTAACAATTTTATCAAGGAAGAAAAAAGATCACAGACCTATCAAAACTAGCCTTCTTCCTTTACAATATGTAAGAATATTGCTGAGCATCCATCTATCGTTCATCCTCCTCAGCTTTACTATACCTCTATTCAACATATTTATGTCACCATGCCTGCAGTTCAGGTAATGGGAAATCTTAGAACTCAAAAGGATTTCTGGGGCTATTCAGATATCTCAACAGATTAGAATGCTTGCCACCAAGCCTGACAACCTGAGTTCAATCCCTGAGACCCACATGGTGGAAGCAGAGAAACTGACTCCCCAAGTTATCCCCTGGCATCCACATGTTCATTGTAGCACATACAAGAACACATACAAAAATATAAAATAAAGTGTAAGGACCTGAGTTTGAATCCTCAGAAGTCACATAAACTGACCTATGCAGAGCTAGCTGTAATCCCATGGTTCCTACAAAGGGAAAGGCCCAGTCTTGATTTCTCTGCCTCCAATTTTGGATCAGGATGCAAGCTCTTAGCTAATGCTCTAGTGCCATACCTGTCTGCCTGCTGCCATGCTCCCTACCATGGTGGTGATGGATTTAACCTCTAAAACTATAAGCAAGCCTTAATTTAAATACTTTCTTTATAAATTGCTTTCATTATGGTGTCTCTTCACAGCAACAGAAAAGCAACTAAGACAGGCTCTATGGTTACTATCTATAAAACTTATGAATACTATTATTAACTATTATTAACTCTGTCTCCATCCCTTCTTTCTCCTTCCTTCCCTCCCTTCCCTGTGTCTCAGGCAGGTTCTCTATATGCAGACCATACTAACCTCAAACTCACAGAGATACATCTTTTCTGCCTCTCAATGCCTTGTGTACCACCATGCCTGGCTTCTTTCTTCCTGTCTGTCTGTCTGTCTGTCTGTCTGTCTGTCTACCTACCTACCTACCTACCTACCTACCTATCTGTCTCTTTAGTTTTTCAAGACAGGGTTTCTCTATGTAACAGTCCTGGCTGTCCTGTAACTCACTCTGTAGATCAGGGTGACCTTAAACTAACAGAGATCCATCTGCCTCTGCCTCACAAGTGCTGGGATTAAAGGCATGTGCCACCACCACCTGGCAATCTCTCTCTCTCTCTCTCTCTCTCTCTCTCTCTCTCTCTCTCCCCCCCCCCCCCCAGAGTATCGTCTATCCTAGATGGCCTTGAACTCTTTATATATAGTCAAGGATGACCCTGAACTAATGACCCTCCTGTCTTCACCTCCCCAGTGCTGAAGTTACAGGCATATACCACTATTCTTGGTTCGTGAGGCAGTGGACATGGAATCCAGAACCTCATACATGCTGGGAAATCCCTGTAACAACTGAATTACAATACTGATCACTCTGTAGACAAAGTATAAAACAGTAATTAGAACTAGACAAAAGTATATGAATTTCATCAACCTTGACAAAATAAGGTATATGCTGCTTAATATTTAAAAAGAGGGGAGATAAAAGAAGGGGTAGGTTAGTATCTTTCTTTTACAAAGATGGAGGTCATGTGATTCAAAGAAGGTCAAAGAAGCATAGATTTGGGACTGGAGAAATGACTCATCAATTAAAAGCACTTGTTGCTCTTTCACAGGACCTGGGTTTAGATCCCAGCACAACAGCTATCAATTGTCTAAATCTTTAGTTTTAGGGGATCCAAAGCCCTCTTCTGGCCTCCATGGGCATTAGTCATGGTGTACATACATGCCTACATGCAGACAAATCACTTGCATACATAAGATAAAAATAAGTCTTCAGAAGAGGAAGAGGTGCAATGGCAATTCATATTAGGTCTCCCTTATCCAAAAGTTCAAAATCCAACATTTTTGAGTTCTAATCTTACTTTTGAATTAGAGATAGTCAACCAATGACATTTGTGTAGTATTTCCAATCTGAAAAACTTGAATAAGTGATCCTTAACCTGTACATTCACAGAGGTAAAACAAAAGCAGTAGATCATTAATAAGCTGGGAAGTTGAGAGGCAGATGTAGCCAGTGTGAAGTCATGCAGCCAGTATACAGCCTCTCCCTCCAGACCCCACACTCTTACCAGCATCTAACTAGACCAAACACTTGCCCAAGGTGAAATTAGTCTAATTAGTTGCAGAGTAGGGAAGAACTAAACTAATCTGCTAGTCTTATAATTATTTGGAAAGTCATGACTAAAATTTCAAAAGGAAAAAAGACCAGGTTAAAAATTTTCATATCTACTTGTCCTTTCCAGTATGCCAGCATTCCTAAAAAGGAAGCCTTCCATGTTTCCTTGACCATAGCATGTAACCTAACTCCAATGCTACACAGAGTGCTGAAGGAATTTCTCTTACGGCAACTGCTCAGACATGCACACCTTCCAACAACTTTGTTATTCAATCCTGACAAAGTGGTCAGAACATTAACACTGAAGAAATAAAACCAGCCTGTCTGGTCAATTCTTTGTTTCAGTGCTGGGAAGGTGGACTTCTGTACTTACTGACCAGATAGCCCAGCATACCTGGAAAGTTACAGGCCAGTTAGATCCCAGGTTAAAACAAGGTGTACAGGTCCTGAGAGACAATACTGCAGTTGTCCTCTGGCTCCTACAACAGGGGTTCTCAACCTTCTTAATGCTGCGACCTTTAATACAGTTCCTTATTTTATGGTGACCCTCAACATAACTATAATTTTGCTACTGTTATGAATCATAATGTAAGAATCTATATGAGACCCACGGGTTGAGAACCACTGCTCTGCAGACTCACAGACTCAGGTACACATGCTTACACATGCTCACTAATACAAGTACACCTGTATGGACAAGTACTCTATCATACCAAAAAAATATCAATTTATGCTGTGGGACAATGATCTCATACCCTGTAAAGATTTATTAGCTGTATTTTAATAAAACACTGATTGGCCAGTAGCCAGGCAGGAAGTTGAGGAGGGGCAATGAGAACAGGAGAATTCTGGGAAGAGGAAAGGCACTGTCTGCATTTGTGACTCAGAAGCAGAAGAAGCAAGATGAGAATGCATTGCTGATAAAAGGTATCAAGCCACGTGGCTAAAATAGACAATAATAATGGGCTAATTTAAGATGTAAGAATTAGTTAATAATAAGCCTAAGCTAATAGGGCAACCAGTTTATAATTAATGTAGACCTCTGTGTTTCTTTGGGACTGAACTGTGGAATTGGGCAGGACAGAAATCTCAGGCAACAAATTTAGTTCACATGACTTACCCCATTTTCTGTGCGTTTTTCTCCAGGTACATTTATTACATTTCTTTGAGTTCTCTGTTCTTGAGTCTGACGGCCACCTAAAGAGATGAGAAGATCAAGCTTACTGATATAGTTCATCCAAACTCTTAACTGGATTTAGGAACACCTTGAAAATACCCATGTGTGCCTATGAAGGGGGCTTCCAAAAAGGTGGGAAGGCCCACCCTAAATGTGTGTACCACTGGGCCATGGCTTGGGTTCTGGACTGAATAAAAAGAGGTAGAGAGTTCATGTTCTGTGTCCTGCCATCACAGCCAGGCAGAGCAGTCTCCCAACCACGTCTATTTAAACTGTAAACCAAAGGAAACTTTGCCAGCTATTTTTTTCCTAGATTTTTTTATATTTTTCATACATGAGTACTGAACTTAATTATTTCCAGTTTTTAAAAAACTTTATTATTATCATCATTATTATTGTTTTTGAGACAAGGTCTTGCTATTGAGCCAGGAACTTGCTTGCAGACTCACAGAGATCCTCCTGTATGTGTCATCACACCCAACTCTTTATTTTTAGTTGTATATATATGTGTCTGTGTGTGGGTTTATGCACATAAGGGCAGTACTCAGAGAGGCCCTAAGAGGGCACTGGATGCCCTGGAACTGGAGTTACACAATGTTGTTAGCTGGGTGCTAGGAACTGAACTCAAGGCTTCTGTAAAGGCAGTATGTGCTGTTAACCACTAAGATGTCTTTCTAGCTCTCAAAAGATCTTTGTCTTTTAATTTTTTAAAATTATTTATTTGTGTGTGTGTGCGCACGCGCGCGTGCACACTCACAGAGGCCAGAAGAGGGTATTTGATCCCCTGGAGCTGGAGTTTCTAGTAGTTGTGAGCCACCTGATATTCACGCTAGGAACTGAACTCAGGTCCTCTGGAAGAGGAACAAGCACTGCTGAGCCATCTCTTTGGCTCTTATCTGTTTTTTTTCCCCCACAGAAATGAAAAAAAAATTAACAAATATAATTACCAACCCTTCAACTTTTTCACTTATTTGCATATTTATTGAGCATAAATGTAAAATATCAAAGACTTAGTACAGTTAAGAATGTTTTGTAATCAGTTTTTTGTTTGATTTTATTTTTTGAGACAGGCTTTCTTTCTCTGTGTAACTCTAGCTGTCCTGGAACTTGCTCTGTAGACCAAGCTGGCCTCAAACTCACAGAGATCTGCCTGCCTCTGCCTCCTGAGTTCTGGGATTAAAGGCGTGCACCACCACTGCCCAGAGCAGTGCGCAATCAGTCTTTTCATGTGTTGCTGCTCGCTCTCTCTCACTCACACTCTCTCTCTCTCTCACACACACACACCATAATCTATCTCAAACATGAAATTTAGAATCAAGCATGAAATTGACTAGCTTTCAAAGTGTTTTAACTGGGGGCTGGAGAGATGGCTCTGTGGTTATGAGCACTGGCTGCTCTTCTAGAAGGCCAGGGTTCAATTCCCCAGTACCCCCACAACCTTCTGTAACTACAGGTACTAAGGGATCTGACACCTTTCTGGTTCTGAGAGCACCAGGCATGTATGTGGTGCACACTCACACATGAAGGCACCAGGCACATAAGTGGTGCACAGACAGACATGCTGGCAAAACACTTCCCTTATACACAAAATAAAATAAATTTTATTTACTGCCAGGTATGGTGGTGCACACCTTTAATTCAACACTCAGAGGCAGAGGCAGGTAGATCTCTGTAAATTTAAGGCCAGTCTAGTCTACAAAGTGAGGCCAAGAACAGCTAGAGTTACACAGAGAAACTCTGCCTTGAAAAATACACAAAAAAGAAAGCTAAGAAGTCCCTAGGCAAAAGGCATATAAAGAGAAACAGGTTAAATTAATTAAGTTATAAGAGCTAGTGGGAAAAGCATAAGATAAGGGTAAGCATTCATGATTAATAATAAGTGTCTGTGTCAGGATCTGGGAGCTGGTTGGTGGCCCAAAAGAAGGCCTGCTACAGGTCTACAATTAACAACACCCCCTGCCTGTTCCCTTCTGCCCAGGCTAACATGCCCAGCTTTTCACAAGTCCTTCCAAAGCTGTTTCACACACAGAAACCATTAGTATAATACAGTCACTCTTGTCTGAGTCACACCAAAGGCAGTTCCAGTATGGTATGGACACTGCTAGGCAACCAGCTTCCTCTACTGGACACATTTCTAGGCCAGGGCACAGAATTTCTTCTGTATTAGAGCTGCAGAGCCCTCCACCACACAGATATCCTGTATTTCACGGTCCCACTTCTTTATGGGCACTTATAGTGCTCCCACCAGCAGGAGCTGATGAGCCACACTGTTGGCCCCTTATTTTGTACAGGTTCAGTAACAGACTGAATGTAGACCTTCTACAAGAACTGATGGGTTAAAAGGCTTTGTGCTTTTGTATTTAAGATTTATTCATTTAATGTGTGTTTTGCCTGCATGGATGTGCTATATGTGTTTCATGCCTAAGGAGGTCAGAAGGTGTCATCAGATCCCCTTGAACTGGAGTTAAGAGATAGTTATAAACCAAAACCACTATCTGGGTGCTCAGAATCAAACTCAGGTTCCCTGCAAGAACAGCCAGTGCTCTTAACTGGTAAAAACCATTTCTTTCTGGCCCAGTTTTATGCTTTTATTTATGTATATATGTTTGTATGCATTTATGTATATATGTTTGTATGTATGTACATATTTATTTATATTGAGACAGGGTCTCTTGCTTTTCTATCAAACACTTTTTTTCTTATAAAATTCTAAGACTTCTTACATGGAAATAAAAATATACCCACCCTGTGAGTTATTCATGTAGTCAGGATGCTTACAGGCCATCAGTTCTTCTTTTTCTTTCTTTTTTCTTGTTTATTTTTAAAACTGGAACTCACTATGTAGCATTGACTGGCTTGGAGCTCAGAGATCTATCTGTCTCCGCCTCCTGAATGCTGAGATTAAAGGTGTGTACCATCATGCCTGGCTTTGTTTTTGTTTTAAATAGCATACTAACTGGTCTTGTCTTTGGTAGCATGATGTTACACTGAGAAAGGCTTGTTCCACTCTAAAATCAGAATTTTTCTTATAGCCTTTTCCCTTATTATTTTAAGGTTTTATTTTAAATTCCTGATGTTTGACCTATGTGGTGTTTACTAGAATTAATCTCTTCACACGTTGCATGTTTACACATTATCGTATCTGGGAATGCATTATCTTACCAACTTGGTGTCCTGAAAGAAAGCAAGAGCCTGTGCCTATGGGTTGTAACATACTCATATCTGCAACTGCAGAGGTCAAAGGCACAAGAAATATACATTCTCTCTCCCGGCAATTTTGAGTGAAGGAAGAAAATGTGTGAATAATTTTTATAAAATTAACTAGTATGATAAAAGTTAATATGTGAATGAAGAAAACATTTATCTACCTTGTTCACTGTTCTCAGCTGGAGAATCCTCATGTCGAAGAAAAAATTTCACTTCTTCTCTGCGAGGTCCCCACTTCTGCAGGTGCTCATACATCATATGGTCATAGGGGATGGGGCGTTCTAGGAGAAAGACTACAGTTTACTCCAGAAACAATACAAGGACACTAGTCAAAGCAGGAATGCACAAACACACATACTGGAATCCAAGAACATTACAAGCGCCATATTTTGTTAATGAACACAAGTAAAATGAATGAGAAATCAAAAACAATAAGGCAACATACAAACACAGTACTACATGTCAAAGTAAATTTCCAGTGTCCAATAGGGAACAATGAAAACATGTCTTTAAATTTAGTTACTTATTAAAAAGCAGTATACTTTGCATCCTTCAAAGAAATGAAACAAACTAGCTATATTATTTTATTTATTAAAATACTACACATGGCAATAGATGTCCAAAGGTTCACTACAGTTCCTGCAGAGGCATCCAAATTATTATTAAGTGTTGATCTCTGCAAGTGCTGGCAGTTTAAATTCTATTTCAAATATTTTTTTAGAATATTAGATTGATTTATTTTATTGTAAGTGTTTTGCCTGCATGTATGTCTTTGTACCACATATGTGCATGCCCTCAGAGGCCAGAAGAGGGCATCAGATCTGGAACTGAATTTACTGGCAGTTGTGTTACACCATGTGAGTGCTGGGAATTGAACTGACTCCTCTTGAAGAGCAGCCAGTAAGTACTCTTAACTGCTAAGCCATCTTTCCAGCCACTCAAATACTTTTTAAAGAAGCAAATCTTATTAACAGAATGTTCTTTTATTAATCCTTTAACTGGTAAAGAACACTAACATTGCTGTTACATTTTCCTGTTTATAATGTGTTCTACTTCCCTTCTCTATAACAGTATTAGAATTCTATAATAGTAATAGAAGTGCTATTTCAGGTACTTCTGAGACAACTAAAAAGCAAACAATAATAGAAGCAATGAACACTTACTTCCTAAAACATAAAGAACAAATATACATTTTTGGATCTTTGGATTTTAAATTTTATTTATTTATTTACTTACTTAGAGACAAATCTCACCATGTAGCTTTGGCTGGCCTAAAAATTCACTATGTAAATCAGCCTCCCTCAACTTGAGTGGTGGTGGTGGTGGTGGTGGTGTTGGCAGTGCACACCTTTAATGACAGCACTCAGGAGGTAGGAGACAGGTTGATCTCTATAAGTTCAAGACCAGCCTGGTCTATAGATCAAGTTCCAGGACAGACAAGGCTATACAGTGAAACCCTGTCTCAAAATACCAACCCCTGCCCCTCCCCCCCCCAATCCACCTGCCTCGGCCTTCTAAGTGCTTAGATTATTATTTCTGCTCTGCTGGAAACTGAACCTAGAGACTCACATATTCTAGACTACTACTGTGCCTGTGTGCATACATGTGTGTAGCCCAGAGCACAGCCTTGAGTGTCATTCTCTGTGCACTGGCTATATTATTTTTGTTGTTGTTTTTATGAGATAGGGTCTCTATGATGATGATGATGATGAGATAAGGTTTCTCCCTGGTCTAGAGCTTGCCCAATAGGCTAGGTTAATAAGCCAGTGAGCCAGGGACCTGTGACCACACCATGATCACAAACACAAACTATTATACCAGGAGCTGTCCATTTTTCTTTGTTTTGTTTTGTTTTTGTCTGTTTGAAACAGGGTCTCATTGTTTTCTTTCTATTGGAACAAACAGCCCTGGATGGCCCACCACTGTGTAGATAAGGATGGTCTTAAACCTACATCAATCTTCCTATATCTGCCTTCCTGCCATCTCTGCACTTCTAGGGCTGGGATTATAGGTATGCACCACCATGACTGGCTCTGAAGTTCTTGATATTCAGGTCACTAGTTCTAGGATGATTATGTGTACTGACAACTGACTCTCAATTTTGTTGGTATCTTTTTAAACTAGAGTTTGGTTCCCATTTGGGTTGCTCACAACTGCCTCTAATTCCAGTTCCAGAGAGTCATGAGCCATCTTCTGGCCTCACTGGGTACTGCGCTTATGTATACAAACACATATACAGACATACAAGTACATAGAATTAAGAATTAAAAAAATAGCTGGGTGTAGTGGTGCATGATCTATCCCAAAATTTGGGAAGCAGAGACAGGTGGATCTCTAAGTTTGAGGCCAGCCTGATCTACAGAGTGAGTTCCAGAATAAGGTTACACAGAAAAACCTTGCCTTGAAAAACGAAAACAAATTTTTTTTTTAAAAAACATATAAGTACCTATAAGTCTTTTCCAATTTTATGTCATACTTTTTGTTTTGTTTTCTTTTTTGAGATAGAATATCCCCATGTTGTCCAAACTAGTCTTGAATTTACAGGCTCAAGAGAGGTCCCCATCCCTCATCCCCTGCCTTGGCCTGAGTAAGCTAGGGCTATAAGTATGCACCACTGTGTCTGGCTAGTTTTGAGGTTTGTATACAATAATTCATTCTCTTTTACAAGATAAAAAACAGATTCTCTTATGTTTTTTCTAAAATTCTTAAAGCATTTTAAAGTATTGATCTTTATTTTAATTTTTTACTTTTTTTTTAAGATGGGGCTTCATGTAGCCTAGCCTGGCTGCAAACTCACTATGTAGAAGAGCATAACCTTCAACGCCTGATCCTTTACCTTGAGTGCTAGAATTATAGGATACAGGTATGCACCAACACGCCCAGCTTTGAAGAATTCCCTGCATTCTGCAATCATTATATTTGAGAATTTTCTCTGCTTGCTAGCAAGTCTTTCACCATAAGAGACAGGGTCTTCCTAGTCTCAGTTTAATACTATTCGCAGAGGACTTACCATTTACACTACATGCTGTCTTCCTGACATTATTAGAAGGGAAAAGAGTTGTTGGACAGAGTTGAGGTATATAGCTCAGTGGCAGGGTGTATACTGAGCATTTGTAAGGTCCTGGGTTCCATCCCCAGAACCATAAAATACAACATAATGCACATAAAAATAAAAATATTATATTTAATAATAAATAAATATATATTTATATAATAAATAATAAATAAAATAAAAATATTTTATTTAGTGCTTGCTACCAAGCCTCATTTGAGTTTAGTCCATAGAACCCACATTATACAATATAAAACTCACCCCTGAAAGTTGTCCTCTGACCTCACAAGCATGTTGTGGCACACAAGCCCACACATGCCACTAGTCACAGGTTACAGAACCTTAACCCCTATTCTACAGTTGTTTTTCTTTTCATTACTCAGCTCCTTCCTACTACAGATAACTGGGAGCCACGGCAATGTTTTCATTTGAGCATACTGAGTTGTACGTAGCCACCATTGGATAGTTTAACATACCACTTCCCCTCCACACTTCGGCCAGGTGGCAACTGCCCTCTCCAGGTTCCTTGCAGAATTCTACAACATCTCGACAGGTGGTTTCTGGTGTTATAGGAACTTCTGTTAAAATCTGTTCATTGTTGCTCAAGAACACGGTTAATATCATCTGTGAGAGAGAAGATTAGAATCACAGTTTAGATTCCTCATATAAAGAGCTCATTATTTTTAACTGTTTATGTCAGCAAACACAGTTGCAGGACTGAGGGATGGCTTAGCAGTTAAGTACACTTGATTTTCTTGCAGAGGATCTAGATTTGATTTTCAGCACACACATGTCAGCTTACATCTGTTCACAACTCCAGACCCGGGGATTCAATGCCTTCTTCTGACCTCTGTGGGCACCAGGCATGTGTGCAGTACACAGGCATGCATATAAGCAGAACACTCATATACTCACTCTCACACATAAATTAAATTAAAACTCTTAAAAAAATCACATTCCAGACTGTTGAGATGGCTCAGTGATAAAGGCACTTTCTGCCAAGTTCAATGACCTGAGTTCAATCCCGTGTTTAACATGGAGGACTACATGGTGGAAGAACAGATTCCCCAAAATTGTTCTCCAACCTCCTTATGTACGCATGGCACATGCACGCACGCGCACGCGCACACACACACACACACCCTCCAAAAAGTAGGAACTGGTCTGGGAAGATAGATTAGTCAATAAAATGCTTGCCTTGTAAACACAAGGACCTGAATTAGATACTCAGAACCCACATAAATAATCGGGCATGGTAGCATATTTGTAATCCAGCACTAAGGAGGTGATGACTCCTGGAATACTGGGACTTGCAGCCAAACAACAGACAGTGCTTCAAAAACCAAGGTGGGCCAGGTGTGTTGGCACATGCCTTTATTACCAGTACTCTGGAGGCAGAGGCAAAAGTATTTCTAAGAATTCCAGGACAGTTAGGGCTGCATAGGGAAATCTTGTCTCAAAACAAACTAAAAAATTGGATGGGGTTGGAGAGATGGCTCAGAGGGGGCAATCAATTCTTTATTTTTTTTATCTTTATTTTTATTTAATTTTTTTTGGTTTTTCGAGACAGGGTTTCTTTGTGGCTTTGGAGCCTGTCCTGGAACTAGCTCTTGTAGACCAGGCTGGTCTCGAACTCACAGAGATCCGCCAAGGCAATCAATTCTTATGTAGCACAAACCCTCAAATGAGACACTCAAGCTCTCTCATTTGCTGTGTGCTGATTTTGCTGCCACTGCTGGAAAAGGTTTTATTTCTCATTCTCAATTCTCAGCAGTAATTCTGGGAATATTCTTTTAAGGCAAGGGCTCTAACTCTGTTCAGGCAAAGCTTTAGACTCCTCCTACTTCCACTTCCTAGAGGAAAAGGAATTGTGGAATAGCACAGATAACTGATATGAAGAAGACAAAAGAAAAGAAAAGTTAGTAGCTTACTAGGTAGTAAAGAGCTTATAGAAGTCATGGAAAGGATCTACCAAGTTGGGGATGGACAGCCTGTTGTAAAAATAAATCTGCTGGCCTGACCTGTCACCTGGGTACCCTGTCCCTTTAAGAGACAAGCCCCGCCTACTCCCAATCCCCCCCACTTCTCTCCCCACCTCCAGCCCACATTCATACTCCCTCCCTCCCTCCCTCCCTCCCTCTCTCCCTCTCTCCCCCTCTCTATCTCTCCCTCTACTGAAGAGGTTAACTACTGCCTCACTCCCTTCTCCTTTTCCCCACTTCTTTCTTCTCTCCCTTTTCGTTCTTCTTTTTCTATCTCCTTTTCTCTCTCTCCCCCTCCCCTCCATAATTCCTCATTCTTATGCCATTCTCAGTACCCACTAAATAAACTCTATGTTCAAGCTCTCTCCACATGGCATATCTGTCTCTCATCTGCCAGGGTCTCATGGCTATCAATGATAACACAGCCATCATAAAGACCCTTAGCTTTTCCATGCGCCAGAGAACTGACTCTAAGCTCCTTCTGGGTATGACATGCTATGACTCTATGTACTGATTTAAAACCTCAGAAATGTAGACTGGAGAGATGATTCAGCAGTTAAGGGAACTTGCTTCTCTCACAGAAGATCTAGATTGAATTCCTAGCATCCACATGGCATTTAACAAGTGTTTAAACTCCAGTTCCAGGATATCTGATACCCTCTTCTGGTCTCTGAAGTTTCCTGCATATACTGTGCACACACACACACACACACACACACACACACACGCGCGAAGGCAAACACTCATCATACACATAAATAATATTTTTTTTTAAAAAAGAAAAAGACAAACAAAAACCACACTCGCTCTCTAGACGTATCACCACTGTTACTACTGAAGCCTAAGGCAGCACCTCTGCTCAGGCTTAGATCTTTGTGCACTCTTCCTTGTCCACACATAATTTTGTCTACACACACACTGCTCTGATACCAAATCGTGCTCTTCATTCCCTTATTCCAGCCACACTGGCCTTTTCACTCTTTCACCCGGTAGGTCATCTGCTGTTTGGTTAGGGCACTCCACTCAGCTACTCAGAGCTGGAACAGCCTCTTCTTTCAGCACTTAACAGAGAAGCTTTCCCTAACCGACCTATCTAAAGGAGCTCCACTCTCTTGACACAGGGAGCAGTTCAATTGCTTATTTCCTGCTTCCTAAAAACAGGGATCCTGGTCAGTCTTCAGCTGTATCATTAGTACCAGAATCAGGACCAGGCACAAAGTACGAACTACACAAGTCTCAATTGTATGATTTTTTTTATAGGACTGCCAAGTCTGAAGGATACGTGCCTGTCTGCCTTTTCATCTTCAAGGCTTCTTCACAAAGGACAAGAGAATCTTTAGCCCTTTACCTACTGAGTTACTCCACGTAACAGAAGAAAAGTATCAAGGTGAAAGCCGGAAGACATGATTAACACAAGAACATAGTTTTTGGCAGATTCCTTCATACCTAAACATCTGGAGGCCTCTAGTCAAATTCCATATTCCCACAAGGCGGCGCTGCATGGCAAGAGGGAGCAATTCCACATTTGGAATAACTCTGAACAAGAGGTAAGTCAGGTGTGGTGATGTATTCAAGCAAGTTAAAGCAGGAAGATCAGGAGTTCAGGGCTGGCCCCAGCTACATAGAGAATTTGAGTACGGTCTAGCCTACATGAGACCCATTTTAACTTTAAAAAAAGATGTAATTATGACTGGAAATTGATCACATTTCAAAGGAAGAATGGGCCTTCATAAAATGTTGAGCAACTTCAAAATAAGTAAGCTTAAAGTCTGAAAGGTGCACTTCACCTCTTTAGAAACAGATATGTTTAAACACTTACATAGCATCTAATCCATTAAAGAGTTCTAATATTAGGTTCTCACTAGCCCTATCACTAAGGTAATAGCACTGTTTTTATTTAAGTATTGAACACTAAAAATATGTTCTATACCAGATATGGTGGTGCACACTTGTGATCCCAGCACTTGGGTGTTGGTGTAGGAAGGCAAAGCTCATCCCCGGCTACTTAGTGAATCTGAAGGCAGGCCAGGTTACTTTTTTTTTTTTTAAATACACATCATTTATGTGTACACACATTCTATCCTATAAAAATTTCACTTTACCAATCTGAACTGGCAAAACCTGGTATACATTATTCCCAAGAATACCACATTAACAGTGCCCCCTTCACCTCATTCACTCAGTTCCTTTTGTATTTAAAATCACACCATTTGAGACTCACCTGAAACCTACTAGGAATGCCAAACTTGAGTATACAACTTTCCATAAAGCTTAGATAGTCCACAACAAGAGTTCAAAACTTAGTGATAGTTTAGACTATAAAGGAGTATGTATACATATTTTGGCACTCTTTCTCACCAGTGTTGAGAAATGACAATCACTTTATAGGCATCATCCTTCTCTATGTCTATTACAGAAGCCAAACTTGGGCTAAGCATTACACTGTAGGGTAGACTGTCAATGAGCTGGAAAATCAGCCAATCAGGAGCAATTTACTTATTTGTACTTAATGTACAAATAATGGGTTTCACTGTAACATTTACATTCATGTATATTGTGGTTTACTCATATTCACCCCATTATCCTCTTCTGTCCTTCTGACCTTCTGCTGACCCCCCAAAACTGCCCTGTTTCCATCTCTCTTCCTCCCTCTTCCCCTCCCTCCCTCCCCCTCCCTCCCTCCCTCCCTCTCACACACAGTGTACAAATAAATTTAGATTCTCCATGAAAAAATTTACCTTTATCTTCCCTATTCTCCTCTTTTATTCCCTTCTGACTGAAATTTCCTTTTAACAAAACAATATAAAGCAGCATTGAAAAAATGAAGAGAGGGACTGGAGAGATGGCTCAGCAGTTAAGAGTACTGTCTGCTCTTCCAGAGGACCCGGGTTCAATTCCAAGCACCTACATGGCAGTTCACAGTTGCCTGTAGCTCCAGTTCCAGGGAATCTGACACCCTCACACAGACACACATACAAGGCAAAACATCGATACACATAAAATAAGAATAAATAAATCATTTAAAAAAAAAAGAAAATGGAGCTGGGTAGTGGTGGTGGACGCCTTTAATCCCAGCACTTGGGAGGCAGAAGCAGGTGGATCTCTGTGAGTTCGAGACCAGCCTGGTCTACAAGAGCTAGTTCCAGGACAGGCTCCACAGCTACAGAGAAACCCTGTCTCAAAAAAACAAAAACAAACAAACAAAAAAGAAAATGAAGAGGTCTCAAGAGATGGCTCAGTGGTTAAGGGCACTTGTCACTCTTATAGAAGACCCAGGTTCAATTCCCAGAACCCACATAAGGTTGTTTGCAGCCCCCTGTAACTCTAGTTTCAAGGGACCCAAAGACCCCTTTTCTGGTTGTTTACGGACACCTGCACTCATGTGGCACATATCACATGAACATATATATAAATAAAAAAATAAATCTTTCCAGGCAGTGGTGGTGTACTCCGGAGTCAAAGGAAGGCAGATTTCTGATTTTAAGGCCAGCCTGATCTACAAAGTCAGTTCCAAGACAGTCAAGGCTGTTACACAGAGTAACCTGTCTCAAAAAACCAGCAAGCAAGCAAACAAACAAAAATCTTAAAAAGAAAATGAAGAGACAGGTCTCAGACTGAGAAAATATCTACAAAGTGTACAGG